CTCTGTGTGTGTGTGTGTGTGTGTGTGTGTGGTACGGGGCTCCAGCGACCATGCCCCGGCATGTTGTGTCGGAAGTTGTGCTTATAAACAACACAGGGAAAGAGACCGCAGCCCGGGATGGCCATAGAAAAGAATGCTTATAATGTCCAGCTTTCAAAATCCATGAAACAAAAAAGAAAAACACAAAACAAAAACCAAGCCAACCAGTGGCAAGGCAAGTGTAACAAAGCAAACAAAATGACAAGGCAATGGTCAAGACGCAACACGGCACTTGGCCAACAAGCCGCAGCAACGAAGAAAGGGTGGACGGCATGGGGGAGGCGGGCGGGCATACAAACGGCACTAGGCAGAAGAACGAGGCGGCAACAAGGCAAGAAGTAGCACTGGGGCGGTGAAGCAACACCACGAAACGTAGGCCGGAGGACATGGGGCAGGCAGGTGGGCAGGCAAACATCACTAAGCAAAAAAAAGGAATGGACAGGAAGTCGAGAAGCAGCAAGGCAACAAGACAACTAAGCAGACAAAAGAACAAGTGACTAAAAATCACAAAGCGGAAAAAAGAAAACTGATGATGGATTGTCTCGGCAGAGTTGCACCGACTCAGCAGGAGGCTGAACTCTTGACAATCTGCGGAATCCTCGTATTGGATGTTTTGGGTCATGAACCCTTTGACCCTTGTTGAAGGCGGACTGTCAGGAGGCTGAACCCTCGACAATCTGCGGAATCCTCGTAGGGTCATGAACCCTTCGACCCTTGTTGAAGGCAGACTGTCCCCCAAACGGACCACAGGAGGGAGCTGCAACCCCTCGAAGCACCAGGCAAAGCTGTAGAGGCAACACGGCTGCTCAGCGCTAAAGACGACTGCAAGGAATGACACGGCAAGCGGATGATGGATGAACAGTGCAGCAACCGTGTAGTGAACCACAAGGCAACACAAGCAAGGCAGCCACACTGCAAAGGACGACAGGGCGAGTGGACCAGCAGCTCAGCAACCCTGCAGCGAAGCACAAGGCAACAGCAACAAGGCAACCAACCTACAAGGCACGCAAGCAGCAAACACGGAAGGCATGCCCAGCGGATAGGCAGCAAGGCAACACCAACAACATGGCCACACCACACAGCAAACACATCAACTTGCAGAGAACCACATGCGAAGCAAGCAGGACAGGCAGCAAGGAAGCGGCGGAGCGCAGACGAGGCAGTCCACACATCCAACACGGTGCAAAGCGGCACATGACGTACTCACATCACGATTGAACCCCAGACTGTTGGTTTCCACCACCCACTGAGCCACGAGACACTACAACGAGCATCCGTCATCACGCACAGGCAACGCAGACGTCCCGAACAGAGCGGCCTCCCTAACCGTGCTGTAGGCACTCCAGACAAGGAATACCTGACTCTTTGGCACTACTTAAAGGTGCTCAGTTGGGCACATGCAAAGTAAGAAAAAATCAGAGGAAGACAAACGATAGGGGGAAGACAGACAGACATAAAAGTTATCGAGTGTGTGTGTGTGTGTGTGTGTGTGTGTGTGTGTGTGCGGTGTGGGCTGGGTGGGACCATGTGGACGGTGGACCAGGTGGTACCATGTGGGTTGGGCCGTACTATGTGGACTTGCACACACAGCAACACACACACACACACACACACACACACACACACATTCCTGTCATGTGGGGGCCACTTAGACTGTGACATCTGTCTACCGTGCCATGTGATGCGTCAACTGCAACTGCAAGATTTGGATGTGCTGCTTCAACAGTCCACATCCCAATTTGTCCTCTCCAGTCTGCAGGAGTGGCCACTAACTATTAGGCAATGACTTCTCAACTTGATGTTATCTTCAACACTGCAAACACACACACACACACACACACACACACACACACACACACACACACACACACACACACATTCGTGTCATGTGGGGACCACCTAGACTGTGACATCTGTCTACCGTGCCATGCGATGTGGCAACTGCAACTGTAAGAATTGGATGTGCTGCTTCGACAGTCCACATCCCAATTTGTCCTCTCCAGTCTGCACGTGTGGCCACTGACTATTAGACAATGCCTGCTCAGCTTAATGTTTTCTTCAACTCAAACACCGACTGGGTGTTACCATGTGGAACCGGTTTCCTGGCACCTCAATCTGAGTGGCGTATGAGTAGAAGGGTTGAGATCCTCAGCAGTACTGACGATGTGTAGTGAGGAAGTTGATAGTGCCATGATACGTGCTAGTGGTGCCTGCTCTCACCATTACCCCTAGCATCCACTAGGGTTGTTCTCTAAAATACAAAACAATAGAAAATAATAATAAATAAATAAATGTGTTACGATCCTGGCCAATTTTGAAGTCCACAACCATCAGAAAGTACAATGCTGCCCAAATGCAAAAGAAATAATTGAACTTGAGCTCAACTCCATCCAA